TAAATGCATTTAGGACGTTTTTTACTCACTTTATGTCTCTTCCACGATGTTATTTCTCTCTCCAACAACATAGGTTACATTTACATTAGCATGACCAATTATACAAATTAGTTGATGACGTCATTTAGCGACTTTTAGGTCAGCCAATAGCGATTTTCCTTACTGAGGAGTTGGCAACACTGCACAGGAGAAGAAGAACGAGTAAAAAGAACTTTAACATCGGAGCAAAACCTTGAAAATTAAGATTTAAAGACTGCTCATACTTCCAGCACAGGGAGCGCTTAGCTTAAAAGGCGGGGAAGTTTATTACTGAGGTATTTTAACATTGCTGTGATGCTGTTGTTCAGGTTTAGGATCTGTTGTTTTAGTGAATGGCTCATTGTGCCCAGCGCACGCAGGCTGTGCAGAAATATGTACAACAGCTCGAGCACTGTTGCCTGGCAGCATGACAGCCCCACCCTGTCAACATGGCATCTGTTGTTACAGTTTTGCTCATATCCATCATACCCACGGGGATACCAACAGTGAATGAAAATAAGGGAAACTTGCACCATGTCCCTGAGATGGCATCCAGCCACAGGGAGGGATACACGGGGCAACGCAAGCAAGCTCTAAATGAAACAGTTTCCCTTGTGAAATAGAGCAAGGTGCTGGTGAAAATTCTCCATAAGACCCAGTGACAGAAAAGCCTCATAAGAAACTGGGTCTGTCAGCTGTGGCTCAAATAGTAAAGCGAGTTGGAAGGTTGGTGGATGAATCCCTTGCCCCTCCTGTCCTGTGTCAAAGTATCTTTGAGCAAGATGCTGAACCCTGAGTTGCCCCCAGTATGTCCAAAAGAGTATATGTATGTGAATGTTAGGGTATGAGTGACTGTGTTACTCCCTCTCCCTGGCAACAAAGGGGATTGAATCCAAAGCTGGTACAGCTCCACCCTCGCTGGGAGACAGACTGACCTGTACTTTGATTTTTCCCCCTTTTTTGAACACACTGCACCCTCAGTTTTATTTATGTCTGTGACAGCGTTGTTCTGCACCTCTTTGTGCAGGATGGCTCGATACATCGGCACAGTTGGCAACAACTGAGGCAAAACACTTTTTATCGTAATGTCTCTGTGGACCCTGCTGGTGGGACACCTGGTCCTCAGGTGCCTGGAAAGGAGGACCCTTAAAGCCTACATTAGCTTTTTCTCAATTCAGGAGCTGCATCCTTCGGGGGACCCGGCCTTCACAGTCTACGTGGGCCAAGTCCTCCGAAGACTGAGAATGCTGGAAGTGAGTGGCTGTGAAAGGGGATGGTCTAGCCTTCAGATTTGTGTCACCCGCTGTCTCAGTGGAGTTTAATAATTGATTGATTCACTGATTCTCTACCAACTCCAAAAGTAGAAAAGTTGTAACACTATGTAAAATATAAACAAAAACAGAATACAGTAATTCATGATTAGAATTTCTCATTTTGAATTTGATGGCAGCGTCAGCTCTTCAAAGTTGGGGTGGGGAGAACAAAAAGCTGGAAAAGTAAGTGACATCAAAAGAAATATCTTTTGCCATTGATTATGTTAACTGGCCAGGTCAGTGACATGATTGGGTATAAAACGAGCAGCTAATGCATAATTTATGGTCCCAGAAACACG